TGAGGGTTGCGATCCCGACGCCGGTCCTGGTCCGGTACGGGCGCAATACTGAGGGTTGCGATCCGTTGCCGGACACGAAAAAAGAAAAAAAAAAAAAAAAAAAGAAAGACTAATGCTCCCATGCATAGCACACAGAAAGGCAAGGTCCAGGAGGGGCTGGATGGGGTGTCTTGGCCATGGATTCCTCTGAAGGGGGATGGGGTCAGGTGGGCAGGGAAACCAAGAGCCCAGTCCAAGTCCACAGACAAGCCCCTCTCCCTCCAGTAAAAAGACCAAGCTGGACCCCATAAAAGCCCCTAGGACTTTGGGGCTGCTTGGGGAGGTAGGGGGATTGAAAGAGACTGGGGGCCCCAGGGAATGATGAGGCAGAGCTTCCAGAGAACAGCAGCTCCAGAAGCAAGAGCTCCAGCAAAACCCTGGTCCTCCCCACCTCCCAGTTCCCCCCACAAACACACTTCCCGCAGCTCCTAGGACACCGCAGGTCCTGCTGCCCTTGATATGTGGTGTAGGGCTGAGCCAGACTCCCAAGCTGCACTCCAGCAACATGGAGCTGCTGGGATGACTGCCCAGAGCCTTGAGCTGCAGGATTCCCTCCAGAGAAGCCAGGTGCTGGGGATGTCCTGGGCTCCCAGGGGGCCACTGCACAGGCGCTGAGATCTGGGTGTTTCTATGTGTGTATTTGTGTGTATGTGTTACAGCAAGAGAGAGAGAGAGTGTGTGGATGTGTGTGTGACGGTGTGTGTCCCTCTGGCACAGGGCATGCACACCAGGAGTGCATCTGTCTCTCCATTCACTGGACAATTACAAAGCACCCACTCAGTGCCTGGCCTGTGCAAAGCACTAAGCTGACAACCACCAACAATAACAGCAATTACCAGAACAGCAAACCCCTCTCTATGGACTAGCTCATTTAATTTTCCCAGCTACCCTCTGAGGTAGATACTGTTAACATCCTCATTTTAGAAATGAGAAAACTTGCCCAAGGTCACACAACTAAGAAGTGGCCAGTCTCTACCTGTTGGAGCTCACAGTCTAGTGGGGAAGAATTTACAACATTACAATGCGAAGTGGCAAACAATCCAGATGTTGTTTGAATGGTCATATTGACAAGTCCCAGCTGAGTGTAAACTGGGTTCTGGGGTCTGGTCATGCCTGAGCAGCAGGTTGGGAGCACACTCCCACCACTCAGTGCTTCATGCTCAAGTTCCAGGCACAAGGGATGGAGTGATCCTCAGGACAGTGGTGTGTGTATCCCAGCACACCCAGGGCAGGGACTGCCCTATTCCTGTGTTTGTGGTAGGGGACCGCAGCATGACTAGCGTCAGCCCGAACAAAGAGCA